GCTTACAAATCCTCCTTGAAAATTTCTATTTTGCACAAAGAACCGCGGGCTATTAATAAGTTACCGATACTTATCGGCGTCATAAAATTGCATTCGAAAGCGTCGCGCAGAACATTTCGCCCAGCTGCCGGGCGACTAAACTTCGATTTCTCGCGGTCCGAAACCGGCGCATGAAAATAGTTTCGCCTCTCGTAGTTTCGTTGTCAAACCGCATACAATGCGAATATTTGCGGCAGTTATTATTGCACGTCGGTCAACGTCAGCGACGTCGATGGTATTGAGAATATTGAACGGAACCCCCAACTTTAGACCGAGAACAGACTCGCGAAGCGAAATGAACACCTTCGACCGGGATCTTGCCAATTTTTGCGAACAGAAGCTCCACCTGCGTCGTTTGCGGCGAAACGCCCGATTATCTTGATTAAAAAAGAAAAAAAATAGAATGGACTTGGCAGACTCGAAAAATTCGCACGCGGAATCCTGTATTCAGCGACTTTTCTCCCGTTTCTGCTCCTGCAAGGATTTCTATCTCATTCTCTCGGTGCCTTTTTCTTTCATTCTTTCGTGTACAGGATCAATTTGTTATTGTAATAATTTCTCTGTTTCCACCGGATTTATTGCTTTCTCTGATTTTATTGTTTTCTCTGATTTCGTCGTTTCCTTCGATTTTATTGTTTTCTTTGCTCTTATCGCCTTTTCGGATTTTATTATTTTCTTCGATTTTATTGTTTCCTCTGATTTCATTGGTTTCTCTGTTCTTATTGCTTTCTCGGATCTCATTGTTTTCTTCGATTTTCGACTTTTATTTTTTGTGTTGAAAGCCGCATTAACATCTCAGATCACGAGCGACTGTCGATCGGTTTTCTTTTCACTTTCCTTTTTTCATTTTAAATTAAATTAGCGAAAAACGCTGACCAATATGCGGCGAGCTTTTCTGACGCGAGGCGACCGAGCCAACGAAGCCCAGTTTCGCTCACTGACTCGCCGCGTTGCATCAACCGCGAGCTCGCCTCTCATTGGTCAATGCTTTCGGTTAATAACTAGTAAACAAAGCCGCGGATTGCATTCTCGCAAAGGAAAAAGTTACTTCAAACGACCTCAGGAATCCCCTAATTTCCCGGAAGTAACTTAATTTTGAGACACCCTGTATAAAGTATTATAGCTGTAAATGAACTCGAATTTATATTGAGAGAATTTCAATGGTCCCTGACCAACGACTATTGATAATGCATGTTTCTCTTCCTCGAGTAAACTGGAGATTGGTTAACTTAATTATCGGTTAAACTGGAATCTAATTGAGAGAACGAAGTAAATCAAATTCGTAATTAACTTGATTGTCAGTGTAGACAGAGAATTCAGTGAAGAAGATACGATCCCAATTTATATATTATAGATCCATTTTCAAAATTGGGTCGAACTGCGGCGCGTTGCAGTTGTTTGGGAAATTTTATTGAAAATTAATTTAATGTTGCACGGCGGCAGGATAAAACAACACGCTCCGCGCGACGATTTAACGAATAAAAGTATCGACTGTCGTTTCCCACGTTACCGAACTGATATTTCATTCGTGAACATGATGCGCAGGGAAAAACGATTTTTCACGGACTCTGCTGTTTTCAGTAACGAACACTCTTAATAGGAAACAATGTTATTAATTAACCCGCGTTCTATCCACCTGTTTGGCACATTTTTCACTGAAAAATTAATTCTTTTTTTCTCTTCATCGCAACGATTCTGTTCGTGTTATATACTTTTAATGAATTAATTTTATACCGAGAGGAACAAGTTATGCTAGTTTTGTACAAGAAATATTAGGTCTACCGGAAAGTATATATAACACAATACATAACAATTAACAAAATTTTCAAACATATTTTTAACATATTAAACACAATTTTTAACATATTAACACAATTTTTAAAGTATATATCACACCAAATTTTCATGCATTTAATAATATTTATTGTAGAATACACTTCCCATCGTTACTCATGGCTTCTTGCCAGCGTGATAGCAACTTGTAAATGCCTTTTTTAACAAATGATTTATTTTTAGAGACGAAGAACTCGACTAGTGCTCGGTTGACATCGGCTTCGGTTTTGAATATTTTTTCCTGTAAACAGGAAAGTATATATAACACAATACATAACAATTAACACAATTTTCAAACATATTTTTAACATATTAAACACAATTTTTAACATATTAACACAATTTTTAAAGTATATATAACACAATTTTCATGCATTTAATAATATTTATTGTAGAATATACTTTCCATAGTTACTCATGGCTTCTTGCCAGCGTGATGGCAACTTGTAAATGCCATTTTTAACAAATGATTTATTTTTAGAGGCGAAGAATTCAACTAGTGCTTGGTTGACATCGGCTTCGGTTTTGAATTTTTTTCCTATAAAAAGTTTTGCAAAAAGAGAAACAAGTGATAATCGGAGGGTGTTAGGTCTGGGGAGTATGGTGGATGCAACAGAATTTCCCAGCCTAGCTCTGCGATTTTCTGACGAGTCGCCAAAGCAGCATGTGGTCTGGCATTATCATCGGTAGCCATGTTTTCACGATCGCGTCTCACTTAATAATGACATGAGACATCTTTGTTTCAGTTTATTTAGGAGAGTACATGTGTGTAAATGCAATGACAAAGAGAGATAGTCGTATATGTCTCAAATCAACATGTGCATATGGATTGAAACGCGAAGTGACACTATCGGACAGAACTTTCCGGTAGACCTAATATATTGGATTTACAAATAAGTGCTCAATTGTCGTCACTAGAGTGCGGATCTTTCTATAAAATACACAAATTTTGTGTCAATTACAAGAGACCGAAGCTAAGCAGAAATTGTCTATTTGCAATAATTTTAATCAATTGAAAAGAGTGTAGCGGCAACTTCAATTTCTTCCGATGTTTCGACTGCTCGCACTTTATTCACTCGTTTCCGTTGTTAAGTGTACAAAATTTACAGTTTAGCCATCATGTAGAAATAATTCATTGCAGACTTTTCACATAAAAATGATTCATTGCTGACTTTTCACATCGAAACGATTCATTGCAGACATTTTCGCGCAGAGGTATTTCAATCCGTACTTTTTCACATAGAAATGATTCACTTTAGATCCTCCGCGTAAAAAATCGCGCAGGCTCTTCGCATAAAAATAATTTTCATGAAGTTTCAAACTTCGAAACTTCAACTTTCCTTTCAAGTTTTGAACTTCGAAACTTCAACTTTTCCTTCGAGTCTTAAACTTCGAAACTGCAACTTTTCTTTGAAGTTTCGTCGCTTTTTGTGAACACATCCGAGGATCTGGCGTAGAAAAATGAGTGAAAAATCTTGACGCGGCCTTCCGGCATCGAAGTGGAACCGGTATCGAAGGTAACACGGCGTCGATTGTTTCGCACACGTGTCGCGAGAGTTCGTCCGAAATCGCGATACGTTCGAGACAGCGCCGGGATCCCACCTTTTTCCCCGTCTCATTCTGCCGCGTGAAAAGAAAAACGAAATCCCATCTCTCAACCCGCATGAAATGAAAACTCACCGTCTGCCACCATCTGTCGCGAGTGTTCATGGATAAATTGGGTCAATCGGTTTCCGATCCTAATCCCACCTGCGACATGTCGTGCTTATTTACAGCGCCAAGCGTAGACAAGCCGCAGGAAAATATCGAATTTCGAAATAAACAAAAACTGTGCAATAACGTTTTGTACGGTCGCAGTCCGCATCGTGTAACAAATAGACCGTAAACATATTTCAGCGCCTATTTTCGTGAAAAAATTAGGACTTATTTTGTACTAAGAACTAATTTCTGTAATTACTTAAACGCGATACCATTACTGTGAAAACGATAATAATTTCGGTTACGACAGTGGCATAATAATAGGCGTAAAAACAGGTTAATTATTATGAAATGTAGAATTTTGTTCGTAATTATTTGCGCGGACAATTTTCATTGAAATGCTCTTGATTAAAATGACGAATAAAGTTTCTGGGAATTGCTACAGTAATGTAACGTAATACATGCCATGTAATAACACAACGCTTTCGACAGTGGTCCTTGGCTTTTGCTTCGAATTGGAGGCTTCAGTTTGTCAAGGAGCATCTCATTCTAACTAGCACTGTACCATGTGTAGAGCCTCTGACGTAGGACCTTAAGGGGCTGTCGCAACATTTTTTTCTGAGGGCATAAAGGACCTTGTGCAACGATGCATCGAGCTGGAAAATATAATAAGAGAATATCTTGCGAAATCTTGCGACTAGCTCGTTGCTTGTTCAATCGAATACAATTTTATCGTCTCTTAAACAAAATCTGCGTTACAGTGCAAGTTAACACATTTCATTACTAGACTGCGAATTCTATGGAATTATGGCAAAAATATAGAATAGGTGACATGCGAAACCTTGAAATCACTAGACAAATTATTATTTATTTATTTATTATACTGTTTCTGACTTATTAACCTTATTACGAGAGTTATTTAGTTTTTGTCCCTTATAATTAATCAAGAATATTTTGATTTTGCACACATTTAATATATACATATATATATAAAATAAATTAAATTGTTCGTTGTATATTATTTATTATATTATATATTTATATATATAATATATATAAATAATAATATTATTATAATATTTGTTATAATTTTATTATAATTTATTATAATATTATTTATATATTATATTATATATTAAATATTTCAAATTCTATTACAATTTTATCAGTTTTATAATTTACAATATCTTTTTACAATTCTGTCACGTATTACTGATGAAATTATAATAGAATTAAAAGTATATAATATACAATAATTTATACAATTACAAATACAAATATTATACAATAATTTTAGCGAATAATTTTTATTTGAATAATAGTCATCAGCACTAGAACCGCTATGAAGTATTCGGGCGTTTAAGTGCCCGACGCGCATAATGCAACGAAACGAGAGGTTCACGATTTGACCTTGCATTTCCTTTTTACAGAGGCTAAAAAGCTTAAGGGCCGTCCGCAGTTTTTTGTTGCTGTTGGCTGCGATAACGAGCGCAAGTGCATCGAAATGTAACCGGCACATAGACGGCACCACTATGCCGCGGTCGAACGCCGATGGGAAATACCATCTCTTCATCACCCTGTTCAACCGAACGGAAATGGTATTCTCGTACATGCCCAATACCAGATACTCCGGTGAGTTTACTATTGCATTCGAATTCCTCTCGCCGCATTTCAATCTAAAATATTCCTCGCCGCGTTGCGTCTGACCTTTAACACTGAACTTAAAAGCGCATTCGCGACCTGGCTGCGATTTTATGGACACCGACAGCATTCGTAGAAACGTGGAACACTATTGTCTGGTTTCGCTAAAAGAAAAAAAAACATAGCTGACGCATCGTTGGTTCGATCAGAAAATTTATAATCATGCAAACAATATTTTTGATTAATGATAGTTTTCGTGCATTGATTTACGAAGGTTTTTATTCAAATCTGCAATGCGTTTATATAGAATGTTAGAACAACCTTTGCAGCCAGCAATAGTAATTGGACAATTAGCGTTTATCTGACATAACTTTTGTATGGTATTGATTAAAGAGAAAGACAATATTCAAATTGATTACGTTTATTTGGTTAGTATGTAGTTAGTATAGGTTTCAGTATATTTCAATACAATTGATTACGTTTGAATACATTTCATGTAGTACATTTTATTTAATACATTTTAGTATATTTTAGTACAGTTTAGTACATTTTCGTATATTTTAGTACATTTTAGTACAGTTTAGTAAAGTTTTGTACAGTTTTGTGCAATTTAATACATTTAAGTACAGTTTTGTATAGTTTAGTATAATTTAGTACATTTTAGTACATTTTAGTACATCTTATACAGTACATTTCATT